AAGAGGCCAAGTCCCCAGAGAAGGCCAAGTCTCCTGTGAAGGAAGAGGCCAAATCCCCGGAGAAGGCCAAGTCTCCTGTGAAGGAGGACACCAAGGCTCCTGAGAAGGAGGTCCCCAAGAAGGAAGAGGCAAAGTCCCCTGTGAAGGAGGAAGAGAAACCACAGGAGGTAAAAGCCAAAGAGCCCCCAAAGAAGGTGGAGGAGAAAGCTCCAGCCACACCAAAAACTGAGAAGGACAGCAAGAAAGATGAGGTGCCCAAGAAGGAGGCTCCAAAGCCCGAGGTGCCGGAGAAGAAGGAGCCTGCTGTGGAGAAGCCCAAAGAACCCAAAGCTGAAACCAAGAAGGAAGAGGCTGAAGATAAGAAAAAAGCAACAACTCCAGAGAAGGAGGCTCCCGCCAAGGGGAAGGAAGACGCCAAACCCAAAGAGAAGGCTGAGGTGGCCAAGAAGGAACCAGATGATGCCAAGGCCAAAGAACCCAGCAAAGCAGCAGAGAAGGAGCCAGAAAAGCCAAAGAAGGAAGAGACGCCAGCAGCACCTGAGAAAAAAGACGCCAAGGAGGGGAAGGCCACAGAGGCCAAGAAGCCTGAGGAGCCCAGCAAGGAGGCCTCCACACCCGGCAAAGCCAAGACGGAAAAGGCCGAGAAGTCCTCTAGCACAGACCAGAAAGATAGCAAGCCTCCAGAGAAGGCCACAGAAGAGAAGGCCACCAAGGGGGAGAAGTAAGGTAGGAAGAAAGGAACATCCAGAGCAGCCAAAGAAACTCAGGAGGGTCTGGGAGCTCAAGGATCGGCATAACCAATTTTCACTTTTCCTTTCTTTTCTTTAAGAAGAAACTCTGCTTAGACGATGGGCCCTCCTTCACCAAACAGGAATTTCTATTAGCAATATGTTAGCAAGAGAGGGCACTCCAAACCCCTGGTCCCACACCCCAAACCCTCCATAGGTGATGGACAATTATGTTATGATAGCTTATGTAGCCGAATGTGCTATATGCCGAATGCCACACGTAAACACTTGACTATAAAAACTGCCCCCTCCTCTCCAAATAAGTGCATTTATTTCCTGTATGTGCAATTGACAGATGACCGCAATAATGAATGAGCAGTTAGAAACATATTATGCTTGAGATGTCTTAACCTATTCCTGAATGCCTTCTATTTTCCAAAGGAGTGGTCAAGCCCTTGCCTCAAGCTCTCTATCCTGGAAGAGCTGGAGCCGGTGGGGCTAGGCACTGGCCACTGAACTATGCCGGGGCGCACTTTTCCACTGGAGTCCACTTTCAATTGCTTCTGTGCAATAAAACCAAGTGCTTATAAAATGAAAATGCTGCTGTTGGTATTTATTCTTTCCCCCGGGGCAGGCTGGGGGCTGGGCAGGGGAGGTCTTGATCTCACACTTAAGACTGCATAGGACTGAGGGGGACTCAGGTTTTGTGCAGGTCTGGGACCAACAGGGTCTCTGTTGGGATATTTCCTGGGCACAAACCATATGCCAGGCAACATGCTAGGTGCTTTATCTTTAGAACCTTGTAGGCAGGTGGCCCGGTGCATGGTTTCTCAGCGAGGTCCATGGACCACTTCCATTAGCATCATCTGGGAGCCATATAAAAATGCAGACTCCTTGATTCCACCCTAGACCACTGAAACAATCTGAGGCACAGGTCTGGTGAAGTGCGTGCTTCACCAACTCCCACCTGATCCTAATGCACACTGAAGCCTGGGAACAGGTGACATCCTAAGGACACTGAGTACTCTATTCACAGAACCCTGCATATGTCCTCTTTTGTAAGGAGGGATGAGCTTTTGAATGAGGGGCCATACATGGCTAATTCATCTGTAGTGAAAACCACAGTCACTATTATTGGGAACAATTTGTCAACAGTCACTTAAATGGATTCCAACCTGCTTCTCTGAACACGATTTTGAAAGCTGTGGTGCTCCTGTGGATTTATGTGGGGTCTCTACTGTAAAATTCTTACGCAATTTCCAGCTTTAGGACGGTCATGACACCTTGTGGTGTTCGCTTGGTGCCTCTGGTGGGAACTGCTTCTTTCCCAACCAGATGGTTCTCAGAGCCACTGTATTTTCTAACTTCCCTAAAACCACTGGTCATTGGTGACTGGTCCAGTGATGGCCACCTGATCCCAGGTGAGCCAATCAGAGCTTTTCCCTGGGATTTTAAACTTGGGACAAGTGAGACTGGCTGATAGTCTTATGGCTGTAGAAGGTGGGAGGATGAGGGAATCAGCAGCTATGGATGGCCATTTCCCCAGCCTTGTGGAAAAGCTAGTCTGTGAGAAAGGATGAGATAGATGGACAGAGATGAGATACCTGGAGAGTCATCATAGACTTCAGGTCCCTGATTCTGATGTTCCTTTCTATGGCCTATTGGCCATTCTTTGAACCAATAAAGTATTTTGGCCAAAGCTCATTTGGGATATGGCCCTGTCATTTCCAACTGGAAGAGCTCTGAATAATAATGAGTGACTAATAGAGCTGCTCAGAAAATTAATGCTCAGGTTTTCATATAGTCCTTGGACATGCTTGATACCTTGAAAAGCCAATCAAAACCATTTCTAAAATGGCACTTAAAGATCCCTTTGTTTAAATGTGACCTACCCCATCCTACCCTACTGTCTTGGCACTCTTTTGTGTTGTTGAAAATAGCTGTCGAAGGTGAGATGTGGACCCTGGGTTGAGGAGTTGACCTTGGGCAGAACTTTGAGGAGGCACTTGCTCATTCCCTAAGAGATCTTCATTTGGTTTCTAGCATAGAAACGTTGTGTCCTGCTCTAAGGAAAAGCCCAAATAGCAAGGAACTGAAGGAGGCCAACAGCCAGTGAGGAACTGTGGTCCTCAGTACACATGGTTGAGCATGGAGGCAGATCCTCTCTAGCTGAGTCCTCAGATGAGACTGCAGCCCCAGACAACACTGACTGCAGCCTTGTGTGAGAACTTAAGGAAGAAGCACCCAGCTAAACTGCACCTGGATGATAGATGTTTGTAGTCTTAAGCCACTAAGTTTTGGGGTAATATGTTACACAGAAATGGATAACTAATATAGCTTCTTTCTCAGGAAGGGCTTCTTTTCATGGAGATCCTAAGTAGCTATGGGCTTGTACCCTTCCAGGTACAAATCAGGGAGAGAGACACTGTGTCTCTATCAGTTCAATTAAAGTCTGAGAATTGAGTCTCATTAGATGGCCGGGTAATGCGCCCATCCTGAGATTAATGGAACACACTAACTGGACCTGCTGGGTCACACACCAAACTCCAGATCTAGGGTGGAGCCAGCCATCTGAGTTACATAAACTGGACCTGGCATTTCAGAACCCAGGGATAGAGAGGATTCTAAAATCTTCCAGAGGGAGAAAACAAAAACAAAAAACCACCCCAATGTTCATAGCAGCACTATTTACAATAGCCAAAACATGG